GACCCACAAGCCCCAAAATATGCAAGACAAATTTAATTGTTGAAGAAGGACCACATCCAGGTAAATTTTTATTCATTTTCAATAAAATCTCCATAAAGTGATTTGTTATGGTGATCAAAATTTTGTTTGGCTCGATCCAAAGATTTCGTGGTACGACATATGTTGTGAAACTAAAATTATGAGAATTTTTTTCTTGATCTCTCCACTACCACTGATCTCGTCGAGGTGCGGTGACGACCTGTTTTATTATTTTGTCCATGATTTTTTTCTGTCTTAGATTTTCACATAAATATGTACTTTCTTATTCTTATTTTTCTATTTCCCATTCTGCTTTTTTTGTAAGATGATTGTAGTTTTTCTTTGATTTTCTACGTTACCATTCATAAATTAATTAAAAAGAATTCAATCGAACACTATAATTATAGTTTTTTTGTGATTTTCCACGTCACCATACATAGATTAAGTAAAAAGAATTCCATCGAACATTACAATTGTAGTTTTTCTTCGATTTTCTACGTCACCATGCATGCCACCTAAAATCTATATAGTCACAAAGAAATATCGACATCCTGCCTCATGCATACCACTTAAAATCTATACAGTCATAATTCCCTTCAAATTAATCGTTGAAGACACAATTAAATTCCAAAAACACTGTCTGCATCCTAGAACAGTGAAGCATCCTATCACCACCAGGAAAACATCACTCCTCCCAGTTTACAATGAGTTTGAAGTATTAAATTGTCTCAGTGCTCTCGTACAGAAGTTAGTTTTGACAAGTAAGAGCAGATCATATCCAATGGTTTACAAGCTTTTGACTTTGGTACTAATTCTTCCGTTTGCTACTGCTACGGTAGAGAGAGTNTGTATTATAATTTTATTTTATTTTTACTAATACAGCCCTCACTAGAAAAATTTCCTGGGTCTTCCCCTGCTCCTCCGTGCACCACCACCTAAACATAATTCAATAAACTACCTTTGTTTCACTAGGTGGGCATATTACCCGTGAAACTGAACCAACCTTACAAATTGACCTGAGTCGGACCAATTTTACGAAAAGTCTGGTCGAGTCAATTTGAAAACCTCGATTTTATGGTCGGATTGTAAAAAAAATTCGATTCAAGGGTAAAATACCCTTAAAATCGACAAATTGAATTGATTCAATCCGATTTGATTTTTATCTCATTAAATTTGATTTTCAAGTGAGGATTATACACAACCCTAACTTCCGATTTAGTGATCGGGGTTGGCTCCAAACCAGACCCATGCTCGCCCGACTAGTTACTATCTCTACTAGCGCTAATTCTTATGTTAGTTGTTGTGAAGATGACAATTGCATGGTTTAGGATGGTCACGGGTGGGCGACAATTTGCGTGGTGATGGATAAGGAAGAAATGATTTAGTGTTTGTTTGATTTGTGTTTCACTTTTGAGTTCATTTTTAGTTTCTATTTTGAGGCCATGTTTTAATATTGCTAAAAATGCATTTGATTTGTCATATTAAAAATTATTTCTCAAAACAAGAAACTAGAAAATATATTTGATTTGAATTTTTTTAAAATTATTTTATAACATTTTATTCAATTGAATTTGATTATTCAGCCCGTTTGGTGGCCATTCCTTAAAAAGAGGAAAAAAAAAAAAAAGAGTTCTGAATAGTGTTTTAAGTGAATGTGCGGTTAAAAAGTAGGGAAAAAATTATATTTACTCGCATAATATTTTATTGTATGAATGCGTGGTTGAAAATGATCTTATAGAAAAAAAAGTTTGAAAATAATGAAAATCAAACATGGACTTAGTAAAATTATAACAATTACATATTAATATATTATCATGTAATATTTATGTTTTAAAGTTGTTGAGCCTTACATTATTTTGTTTTTTTCCATAGAAGTAAAATAAAAAATAAAAAAAATTGATTTCAAAATATAGAACATAAAAATAAATATTAATGACTTGGACCGAGAAAATTTTTATTTGTGTTCATTAAATATTTATTTAGAATTTTTATGTAAATAATCATCAAGAGATTGAACTTTTTTTATTTTTTTTATAATTTTTATTTTTCTAGAAATTTTTATAATTTTGTTTTTTAAGTTTTTTTTATTTTTTTTAAAATTATGGTTTTTTAAAATTTTAGATTTCTTATTTTTAAAAATTTTATTTAAACACTTGTTTTCCATGTTTTGAGTATTTTAAAATTTTTATTGAAAACACTCAAAAAAGTTAAAAATGCGTTTTAAGTTATAGGTTTAATCTTATTTTCAAAAAGGCATGATAAAAAAAATAATAAATCAAACACATTTTTAGTGTTTTGTAATATTAAAAATAAACAATAAAAACAGTTTGAAAACAACAAATCAAACGCATGCTTACATTTTAATTTTTGTTTTTAGTTAAAATCTTTTCTTTTTTATTTTTATTTTACACATTTGCTCCTTTTAATAAAAAATAAAATAAGAGCAATAACAGTCCACATGCAAAACATCAAATCCTTTTGTGCGGACTTCATCCGACATGGTTAGTTATATAAAAAATGGCTTATTAGCACAAAGCATCCCTATGTTTGACTTTTAGTGTGCAAAACGTCCCTACTTTTTTTTTTCTTTTCATTTTCACCCATATTTACACGTTTCATTGTGGAAAACATCATTTTCATCAATTTTTATCTAATTTCTCAATAAAAATTCATGCAATGATAGATATACCATCTCATTTCAATAAAACAAAAACAAAATGAAAGAATAAATAAAGAATTAAATTTATACTTTACTATTAATTAAAATCTCAAGTGAATGAAAATTCCAAATTCCTGCAGAAGTACAAGTTACACAGTAGAAGGTACCTCCAAATTCTGCATCCCAAAACAAAAGCCTCGAATCATCCTCTTCCTCGTCAACCTCATCGTCATATCCAAGCTCCATATCATCCCGATACCATGGCTCACTCCCGTACCCAGATTCACTCCCTTTAGGAGCGGACGCAGAATTTTAAAGTTAGTGGAACACAATCGAACTTGCGAAGAAGTTGCGAGAAATTTTACAATCGAAAATTTGTGTCCAAAAAAATCATACCCCATATAATTTTGTATTCGAAAATTTACATGGGATATAACTTTTTTGAATGTAAAAGTTTGAAATTTTTTTATGTTATATTCCATATAAAATTTCCTAATGAAATGATGAAAATTATATTGAGAAATTTGTATCGAAAAAATAATACATGTTAATGAAATAATTGAATTTTTTTTTTAAAAAATGCGAGTTAGACGTCTTTCTTTAATACTCACATTTAGCGTGTTTAGACTATTCGATATGCCCATAATGCAGTTCTTGAAATAAGTTTTGAGATAACATAAGTAATTTGTATATTCGATTAGCGTACGACCGTCGGAGAATTTTTAAAATTAGCATGTTATCGAAATTCAAATTTATTGTGATTTTACCCTCGTTCGATAGAGATTAAATCAAATTTTTAGTAAATTTTGATAAAAGTTAAAGAGTTATGGATTCCATGAAATATGTTATTAAAATTAATTGTTAATTTTGATTTAGATTAAAATTTAGATTTCAATCGATACCAAACATGATTTAAAAAAAATATATATATATATTTTTCAAAAGTTGAGGGGCACGTGCCCCCAAGGACTCCCTTGGCTATCAAAATTACCTAATTGGCTATACCCACCACTAACATTCTCCCTCTTGCCACTCCCATTGCTCTCCCTCTTTCTCCTTGAATTCCTCGCCACCTCACTCACATCAGATGCCAATTTCACATTCCCTCCACTGATCACAGACAGCTCCCCACTCGAATCCATTCCTCTGACCACCATAGGGTGATCCGAAGTAGTCCCATAAGCCCTCGACGTCGCAACTGAGCAGCAACGCCAGTGAATCCCGCTCTAATCGCTACTTCTACCTGACAGAGACCTCGAACCCCTACAGTGAAGCTTCCTGGCTAACAATTTCTTATGAGCCACCGTAAGTGCCCTATCGTCGTCAAAAAGGCTGAGCTTTGACATGTCAAGGATGGTGCCAATGGAAAACAAAGTAGTGAGGTCAGATCGTCAAGGTCGTTTGCCTTGGAGCCCAGTATAACCAGTAGTTTTCTTCTCCATACCAACCCATTTTGAAAATACAAAAGGCGGACAAACAATCGGTAATTTTCTCTGCAACAAATAATCATAAAAGCGTGGGCGATTTTGATTTAGAGGTCTAAAGCATCCATGAATTCGACTGTGTATTTGTGTAAACAGTTAACTAACATGCTCGACGTAGTGGGTCTAAAGCATGGTCTAATTTATACATTTTGTGTAGATTATTAATTGGAGATGTTATACAAATTACAGACAAAAGATTACAGATCGAAGCAGATTTCAAAACCCTATTACATTCGAAGCCACCCTAATACATGAAACTATGAAGATCACTACTGAACATCAAAGTATCACAGATGTATAGGCTCAGAACATCAAACCTAAAACCCCTTACAACACCGTAAGCCCAGTTCCACCAGAAACCACCACAGTCAAACCGTAAACACAAAGCTACTACAATGAGATAGAGGGATTAAAGACTACCACTCTAAAAGGCCTTACAAACCCATGGATCTCACTAAGAAACGACTCAAGAAACTGATTCAAGCGAAATCCTCACACAGAAGATGAACCAGAGAACACTCAGAAGTCTCCAGAAGAAAACGAGAGAAAAGAGAGTGAATAGAATGAATTCCAGAAACGTTTAGAATCCTTCAAATATCTCAACCTCGAGATTAGGCAGATCCAATCCAACGGCTCAGAGCAGCTGACTTTTACTTTAGTTTGGATTGGGTTCTAGGCCTGGTTTCACTAGGCTTACTTCAGTTGGGCAGGTTAGACGATAATGGGCCAAAGCCAATCATCATTGCCTTTAAGTGGACTAAATATGGCATCACAGCCCATAGGAAATTTCCCGGTGAGTGACAGGTGGTGGGTGAAAAAGTTTCTGGTTTTTGGGTTGGGTTGGGTTGGGTTGGGTGGGGTAGGGTGGGTGGTGAGAGAAGAAGATGAAGTTATTTTTATTTTTTTAGTTTTGATTTTAAGTTATTTGTTTGGGACTCATTTGTAATTTTTTGAAAAATTTGAGTTTATGTTTATAATTAATTCTTCATTTATTCTTTCCTTTTTATTTTATTTAAATGAGAGGGTATATTTGTCATTTCATAA